AGCCTCCCAGTAGCTGGGATTACAGGCACCCGCCACCACGCCTGGCTACTTTGTTTTGTATTTTCAGTAGAGATGGGGTTTCACCATGTTGACCAGGCTGGTCTCTTTGGCCAGGCTGGTCTTGAACTCCTGATCTTGTGATATGCCCGCCTCAGCCTCCCAAAGTGCTGGGATTACAGGCGTGAGCCACCGTGCCCAGCCAAGTGTCTGAATGTGGAAGGATAGCAGGTGTGGCAGTGTGGCTGGAGCAGGGGTGGGGAGGACAACAGGAAAGGGAAAATGAGACAGGAGAGGAGACAGCAGGTCATGTGGGGCCATGTAAGTCCTGATGAGGACTCTGCCTTCTAATCTGAGACGACTGGGAGCTATGAGGGGGTTCTCAGTAGAGGATGAAAGCGATTTGACTTAAGTATTCACAGTATCCCACCGGCTGTTGAGTGGGAAGTAGAATGTGGGAGATAGGCTGGGTACGGTGGCTCCAGTCTGTAATCCCAGCACTTTGGGAGTCTGAGGCAGGAGGATCACTTGAGGCCAGGACTTTGGGACCACTGTGGGCAACATAGGGAGACCCCGTTTCTACAAAAAACTTAAAAATTAGCTGGGCATGGTGGCATGTGCCTGCAGTCCCAGCTACTTGGGAGGCTGAGACGTGGGGTTCCCTTGAACCAGGACGTGGAGGCTGCGATGAGCAGTGATTGCGCCACTGCACTCCAGCCTGGGCGACAGAGCAAGGCCCTGTCTCGAAATAAAAAAGTAATATGGGAGACAAGGATAGAAGCCAGGAGCCCCGTGAGGAGGTGGCTGCGGTCGTCTAAGAGGGAGGTGCTGGCAGTTGGGGCGGGGGTGGGGTGGTTGTGGATTTAACAAGGAGCAGTGGTCAGCCTTTGGATTTTTATTTTTGTTTATTTATTTACGTATTTATTTCAAGATGGAGTCTCGCTCTGTCGCCCAAGCTGAAGTGCAGTGTCATGATCTTGGCTCACTGCAACCTCCGACTCCCAGGTTCAAGTGATTCTCCTGTCTCAGCCTCCCAAGTAGCTGGGATTAGAGGCGTGCACCGCCACGCATGGTTAATGTTTGTATTTTTCGCCATGTTGGTCATCCTCTCGCCTCAGCCTCTCAAAGTGCTGAGATTACAGGCTTGAGCCACCGCGCCGGCCTCGGATTTATTTGGAAGGAATCCGCTAATGGAAGAAGTACAGGGGCCAGTGGGATTATGGAACACGAGTCCCTCACCCACTCCGGGACAAGGATGACCGGGGGTCTGAGCCGAAAAAGCTTACAGGAAGGATCCCAGGCAATAGTCCAGGGCGGTCACCAGAGAGGCCAAGCCACCAGTCCAAGGTCGCACGGCCGGTGAGTCAGCGCCGGAGCCATCCTAGGCTCCCTCTCCCCTCCCTATCTCTGCTTGTGTTCCCACGCCCCACGGTGGCCAAGGCTGCCCTCCCTCCCCTGGCCTCAGGAGTCACCATGGCCACTGTTTCATAACCAGGCTGGAGAGCAGGAAGAAGCACCCAGCTCTGAAAAGGCCTCTCCCCTCGGAGAAGGTCTCAGCTCCCCTTCCTCCTCACGGGTGTACAAACAGACTCCTGAGGTGTGAAGATCCACCCACAGCGCTCCCACCCTACCCACCCCCCCACACACAGAGGTTCCCAGAAGACATTCCTGGAAACATTCTCAGAGAAAGGAACAGGAAGGAGGAGAGGAATGGGGGAAAAATGCACTCAATGATTTTTCAGGGATGGAGGGTGGACGGAGCGCAGAGATGTGGGAAATCCAGGCTTCGGTGCTGGAGGGCTGGAGAAGAGACTGGAGAAGAGACCTACCAGTCTTTCCACCCTATCCCATTGCCGTAAACCTACTGGAATGGAGATGTTGGGGCTAGAATTTTTTTTTTTTTTTTGAGACAGAGTCTCACTCTGTCACCCTGGTTGGAGTGCAACCTCCGCCTCTGGGGAGGAAGTGATTCTCCTGTCTCAGCCTCTTGAGTTGCTGGGATTACAGGCGGAAGCCACCACGCCCAGCTACTTTTTTGTATTTTTAGTACAGATGGGGTTTCACTATGTTGGCCAGGCTGGTCTCGATCTCCTGACCTCAGGTGATCGCCTGCCTCAGCCTCCCAAAGTGCTGGGAGTACAGGCATAAGTCACTGCACCTGGCCTGGGGCCAGACATTTTAATTTCTTTTCTTTTTTTGGGGGGGGGACAGGGTCTCCCTCTGTTGCCTAGGCTGGAGCGCAGTGGAGCTTCCATCTCAGCCTCTTGAGTAGCACGGACTGCAGGAGCAAACCACCATGCCTGGCTAATTAAAAAAAATTTTTTTTGGGTAGAGACAGGGCCTTGCTATGTTGCCCAGGCTGGTATCAAACTCTTGGCTTCAAGGAGTCCTCTGGCATTGGCCTCCTCAAGTGCTAGGATTACAGGTGTGAGCCACAGAAACTTTCTGAACACAGTCTCCTTGAAGAATCAAATGAAAGCCTGGACACTACCCCTTCCAACCAAATGCTCATTTGCATTCATTCAATAAAATTTATTAGGCACCTACTGTGTGTCAGGCACTAGGAGCTGATGTAACCAGCAGTGATTTACACAGAAAAAAAGTCATGTACACGTCCATAAGTCTCCTGAACCCATTGTGGGGATCCTCAGCTCCCCCAGTAGGTCCTGAGGCTCCAGGATAACACCCTCAGGGATCAGGAGAAGGCCCTGACCCAAGACTCAAGAAATCCCAGCCTGAGGCCAGGTGTGGTGGCTCACGCCTGTAATCCCAGCACTTTGGGAGGCCAAGGCAGGCGGATTAATTGAGATCAGGGGTTCAAGACCAGCCTGGCAAACTTGGTGAAAATCCATTTATACTAAAAACACAAAAATTAACTGGGCATTGTGGTGTGAACCTGTAATCCCAACTACTGGGGAGGCTGAGGCAGGAGAATCGCTTGAACCCAGGAGGCAGAGCTTGTAGTGAGCTGAGATCCCACCACGGCACTCCAGCCTGAGCCACAGAGCGAGACTCCGTCTCAAAAAATAAAATAAAATAAAGAAAGACATTCCCACTTCAGCTCCACCCTGATTTCCTCTGGAACTCTGGGCAAATCCGTTTCATCCTCTGGCCTCACTTGACCAGTCTGTAAAATGGGAAGGCAGTTGGTCCCAAGTAGATAATGGACCTTAAGTGAAACAGTCCTGAGTTCCAGTATACCTTCAGTCTGGAAGGGACCCTGGGAAAGGGTGTTTTTATGGAATCCTGGCATTCTTAGTAATTCAGAATATCAGGGTTCACACACCAGCGCCATCATTACAGATGAGGAAACGCAGGTCCCTCAGTGCCAGGGGCTTGACAAAGGACACTCAGAGTCAGAGTGGATGCCAAGGAAGTCCAGGGTCCCCTGATTCTGTGTCCTGAATGTAGTTTTCCTCCTATACACCACTCCTCTGTACCTGTTTTCTTTCTTTCTTTTTTTGAGATGGAGTCTCTGTCACCAGGGTTAGAGTACAGTCACGAAATCTCAGCTCACTTCTTCTGCCTCAGCCTCTGGAGTAACTGGGATTACAGGTGCCCACCACCATGCCCGTTTTTTTTTTGTTTTTTGTTTTTTGTTTTTTTGAGACGGAGTTTCACTCATGTTACCCAGGATGGAGTGCAATGGCGCGATCTCGGCTCACCGCAACCTCCGCCTCCTGGGTTCAGGCAATTCTCCTGCCTCAGCCTCCTGAGTAGCTGAGATTA